TGAAATTGCGATATTGCAGCAATAGCGAGTATAGCAATAGCAGCATAGCAAGCAATAGCGAGACACCAGCTGGTAAGTAAATTTCCATATTATATTTAATTCATTATGATTAATTATTTGTTTATTTATGATATTTTGATATCTTTACTATTGATTATAATTAACTATAATAATGATGAGATATTAATTTTGGATCCACTTTCATAAATAAAATAGTAAAAAGATGTTAATTTTAAAAATATAAATTACTATGTAACAATTTTTGTTGTGTATATATATATAATGCACTAATTTTGATATTTTACTAGAAAATTTAACATTTAAAAAATAATAATAATAAAAATATAATATGAAAGTGTAAAGTACATCTTATACAAATAATTATACTAAAAAACTTATGTGAGTTACGGCTGGTTAATGACGTTTTCCTTGACCAGGACGTTATTACAACGTCCTTCAAGCTTTTTTTTATACTGTTGGTTGCTAATATTATAAATCGATAGCGCGACTTATGGACCGGAAACTGAAGTTTAGTCATAGATATGCAATGTTTACGTAATAAACTGTGTTGTAAGATATATAATATATTATATTATGATTATCATTTTTTTTAGAACTAAGAAACCAATTGCATTTGTATTTTTTTTTCTTTTTGCACATTTTTGGATTCTTCTTAATTTATTACATTTCTTATTTCTTGTCTACATCTATTTACATATACATCTATTTATATCTACATCTTTTTTAATGCAAAAAATTATAAATAAACAAATAATTAATCATTGTACGTAAATATATAATGAGAAATTGCAAATAATTTGCAAAAATTTACAAGATTATTGTGGATTTATTAATTACTAAGAAATGGATAAAATTTAATGCAAATGCTTTTAAATCTTTGGAGTACAATACTTTTCCGCACACATAAGTCCAATTAAAGCGTATAATCATTAACATAATTATCAGAATAATTAATTTTGTAGGATCATTGATAAAAATGCTAGCTCTTTCTACAATAACCGATTCGAGAATACCTCTCACTCCAAAATTAGAAACTTGTATATTTTCAAGCGCCCTTCTTAGCTACTTGTATAAAATCCATCGTTAAAAGTGAGCGCAAAACTTGGTGATATTCTATACATATACAGCGAACTCCGCAGTGTGAGTTTGAAAGCAACTGAAAATATATGCAGGACCAAGGGGGTTAATCGCAATCGTCGTGAGAATGGTATGTCGTTCGTTACGAACTGGTCGAGACAGAAAAGGACATGAACTAGGGTCGTCCAAGGTTGAACGATTTTTCCAAACGAGCATCGACAGTGTGTTTCTTTTTCTCTCTTTTAGTACACTCGAGACAGGACCAACTACTCGGTAGCCTAATAGCACCAAAAGTATTACAAAATGCGTTGCGTGTCGTTGTCGGAATTTCTCTTTCATTAGGATTTACTAATAACGTGCGAGTATACACGTGGGAAATTTCACTTCCGAAATAGATGTCAGTCACCGTCGCGATTTATTACCGTCGCTTTTTGATTGCTTTTAAGGTGAGGGTGTTAATTACTTCTCTTGAATGAAAGGTGCCGACATTCTCAGATTAGGTCGAAGTCACGGTGAAAATCTCGAGCGCTTTCGTCGATATTAATTACCGGGATTCTCATTGACGGCTTAACTGTTGCCGCAATCGCTCTTATCTTCATTATCGCCGAAAATAGTTGGCGTTGCTAAATTTTTCATTAGGTTCGCGGTTATTTGAAGAGTAATTGAGTGTCGTTCGTAACGGTTCGTTAAGATAGTTAAATAGTTAGATAGATTTAATTACATTTTTGTGACTTTTCTGAAAATTTATAATATTACGCATACTGTGATGTGATAATAAGATATACTAACAGAAAAAGTTAACAATTTAATATCATATAAAAATGAATAATTTATTTTAATGGAAGTAAGTTATATCTTAAGATTGTCTACTGTTAACAATAAATTTATCTCTGAATTTTTCCAACGCGTTATACAGAATAATAGCAGTTTTCTCATAAAAATAGAAAGATTTTGAACATAATTATATCGAGATATGAACAGTTTCACCAAAAGTATCGGACAGATTATTGAATTGATATGAAATAATTAATTTTATTAATGCTTTTGAATATTTCGCTTTTTGAAAACCTAAGAAAATTAAGTACAGGCTTAAAACGTGTAAAATAAGATTAGAGAAAATTGTATAACAAGTAGGTTATCATTATTATAATAATTTTCACTTCTCTTGGTCTCATTAGACTATTCACAAGTGTAGCACAAAGGTAAAAGAAAGCCAGTGTGTGACATTATCTACTACATATTCACATATATTCACTTAACTACTGTGCGACTTCATACGTTTATCAGGCCAAATTAACAAGCAATTATATTCAAATGTCTTATTTACAATGCTAGTAAATTATTTACAGTTCTAAAATATAAAATCTACTCAACAAAACAGTGTATATTATGATTTTTACATTCATGGTTTCAATATTACACATTCTTTAAATGTTTTAGATTTTCCTAACGTTTTATGAAATATTGCTGAAACAATTTATCCGCAAGCAAGTGTTTAATTCTAAACGCGACTCATAAAGCGGGGAAAGGTTGTTTAGTTAACCACGACGTCCACTGTTGTATGAGAGCGATATATATAAACGCGATGTCATATATATTCGCTCGCGAATCACGTAACGACCGTAAATAAGTTGTCAGAAACAGCAAACGTTCGTCTCCTTCGCCGTATACAGAAAGCGTTATGCGAATTGAATGCTAGCTCATACATCAAATGACAATGAGAAGCCGGACAAATCAGGAATAATATTTCGCGTTGTATGTGCTTGATAAAGTAATAAGCATACATTTGATTTTGATTTTTTTACATTGACGTTTATATTTGATTTCAATATTTAGAAAAAAACATTGCTCAATATTGCATCAAGATCTTTTATTAAATTAACTTTGCGCGATTGTAGCTTCATTAAGAATATCATTAAGAATATAATTGATACGTTTTGCTGCAAAATACTACGCGATTTAGATGTAATTTTTCAAATATTATATGAATAATTTTTTAACACAATTTTTTTAATTTTTAACATATCAATTTTGCGGAATATTCTACGGTTAAAATCAATAAAATTTGCTTAGAAGAAATTTTGTGGATTTTTCTTACGTTCTTTTAAATCTTTTCGAAAAGATAGTTACGATGATTACGTGAAGTTGCGAGCAACGAGACGGATAGGGCAAAAGTCCCAAAAAGCAAATCAAAGAAAGCGAGTTCGGAGACATTGCGAGAAAGCGAGGTAAAGCGAGGCAAAAGGTAGCAGCGTGAAAGAAGCGAGACGTAGGCGCGGAGTAGGTAGGCGGCGTGGAGTGGAGGGGAATGCTGGAATGGAATGCGCGGCGCCTAGGGCTCGTCGGATTCCAGGGCCACACGTGCCCTTCCCTCCCTGCGCGCCTGCACGCCGCAGGCACCGACCGGAGCCAATAAACTTCGCTTCCAACTGGCGGTCGCGGTCGACCACCATAGAGCTCATTCATGGAGACCTCCTACCATGTCGCGGTCGGTTCGCCAATCGCTCGCGACCTCGCAAATCATCGACGTAAGAATGTATATAGGCAGTAGCATATCCTGTCGAATGAGAGCAGAGAGATATTAAGATTAGAGATTAGAAGCAAAGAAGGACTACAGATGTATCAATCTATTTCGATTCGATATCATTTCACATCTGTTCACATCTATTTATTTTGCTGATACACTCAAGTAAAGTGTGCCAACAAAGAAAATGACAGGGAAAATGACAAAGTGCGTAGAAGTTATGTGAGAATTTAAATCAATTAAGATGTTAGGTGTGAACAGGATACCGAGTCGAATTGAAATAGACTAAAGAATCTATAGTTTGCTCTTATCGCTAATATTAGCTTCTCCTCGTGGAAGGCTATGTCTAGATTCTTCTTAGGTCAATGTGAATACTTCATATTGCTGCCATCTAGTGCAGAATTTGAGGCGTATAACCGGAGTACCAGAAGCGATCTGTAGCTGATATCGTAGATTTTAGGAAGATGCTAAAAAAAGTCCATAAAGTTAGATGAAAAAATTCAATATAAATATTTCATATATATTAAATTCGATACATATGATAATAAGTTTCATAGATATCAGATTTCTTATCTATACATTCAATAGTTTTTCTAATTTTTCATTGATAAGAGTCTATAGATTTTTTTTTTTTAAACTAGAAGATTTGAGAAAAATTGTTTTGTATTATGATATAAAATTATTCTTGTTGATACAATCTAGATCTGTTCTGTGGTATTTCTAATAAGACGCCTATTTTATTATAGAAAATTGATCACTAATGACATACTGCTTTTGGAATGTGATACAAATCTTTTGATTGTGTATCAATAATTGAAGAGCCACCGGTTTTTCATAAATTCTAAACTCGTTCTTTTTTCATGGATTTAAGTGAAAATACATTTTATTGTTTTACTTTCCAACTATCTCATCAGATTCTTCTTCTTTCGATTTTGCATGAGGGAGCAATGCCTACGATAATATTTAAAATCCGCCACTTCGCTAACTTCGTAGTTAACCTTTGTGACTTGCGTAATCAATTGAATGGGCAAGATTGATCTAAACCAGTAATATTAGTAGAGTCTTTAAACACTGCTAGCAATGTCGCATCATCACATTCAGAGAGTACATTATTTTCTTCCTAAAATCACTTTTTACATTCAACTTTCCTTAATATTTTTCCTTTTTTTAACATTTTTAAAATATGTGTGTGAGATATGTCTCATTAAATATTTACAAGAAAGCGTATTAATCAAATTAAACAAATTTAAAATTATTTTGACGATGATAAAGCTTCTTTCACATGCATTTATGAGATAAAACTTTAAAGGCACATGCTTTATATCACGCGATATAATGAGATAAAACAAAGTGTTAAGATAAAACAGATAAAACTTACCTTGCATTTTCAAAAGTGGCTGATGCGCTACTGCCTACTGCGCCAAAGCCAACACCGACAGCAAGACCCTCAGGAATATTATGTATCTAATTATACAAATCAAAATGTACATATTATTCAACTGATAACAAAAGTAACATACATAAAGTAAATTATTTGCATGACTATTTACTACTATTACTACTACTACTACTGTTTTGTAGAAATATGTAAAAATATACCGTAATTGCCACAACTAGTAGTAATATCCTCCGCCATTGATTGTTCTTCGCTTCGTTATTAGGATCCTCGTAAACTGTTCCGATTTCTGCCGGTTCTGTTCTGTTTATATTTGTAAGTTGTCGACGTCTACTATTCTGTTCGTAGAAGCCTGAAAAATTAAATATTGACAGTAATTTACATATCACGCTTTGCACCAAGTTGTGCACTTTTAAAAACTGAACGATGAGCACAGGGACACTTCATGCAAATGCAATTTGTACAAGATGAAGGATTAAAAGAAGGACTTCTTCACACTGCGATACTTTAAATTAAATTTACTGCAGTGTTAGATCCATTTAGGCAGGATTAATAAGATCAGTTTTCAAGCTTTATGGAACTTTTCACACAGATCCAGAATGTTTATTTTTTTATTGGTCTCCTCTTTTTAGATAATATTTTGTTAAATATTTATTAAATATTTTAAATATATTTTATTAAATATTTTACGCGGACGTGCACTCACAATATTAATGATGGGTTCAAGCAGAGTTTTAATTCTGTTTTTGATGTTCACACTTTTATCACACTCACATAATCACACTTTTGTTTTGATCACATCTTCATTTTTATCACACTCTTGTTAGAGATTTATACTTAAGTTTTTAGACAATGTAGTTTAAGTTTAAATGGTGAATCGGCTATTTTTGTTTATAAATTTATGTTGAACCTGTGTGTTTGAGTTCCACATATTTCACTGCGGAATAATGTTGATATAATGTCATGCATATGTTAATACAAAGCTTGGGATTATTAAGTCTAAATGCAGATATTAATCAACTATTGATATATCTTCTACTAAAATCACTTTTGAGACAAAAAAACATATTTATTTATACAAATAATATATTTGCCTGGAATAAGCAATAATCTCTGTATGAATCAATTTATATTCATTTATATTCATATTAATTAGACACATCAATCAATATTCCTTTTTATACCTAAGTTTAATTAAAGAACTAACTAATGCGAATGTATGCATGTTTTACAGATAAAAACTTGTGCGTCTTTGGTGTTACAAATCGGGATATTCGTTCCGTCGTAATTTTATATCATAATAAAACGCGTGCCGGGAGTGTCGTTAATGCCGCGAGTGACGTGATAGTTTCGCGCGAGTACAAAACGCGATACAATTTGGTTCGATTCGCCTGCGACGTCGGGAGTGCCGTTTGAAGTGCCGCACGATTTTTACATTCGGGTACGCGCGTGAGCAATGCGCGCATCGTGACGCGTGTGATAGTTTCGCGCGAGTACGAAACGCCGTAATCTAGCGAATCGTATGGACGAACACATTTGCGCCGAATGATAAATATTGAGACACGATCGAACACGATCCCTCTTTGAGGGATTTTTTCTTTTCAACTTTGGGCTCGGCTCGGGGGAGAAAAGGATCGATTTTTATCATGAAATCCCGATTACGGGCCAAAAAGGCATCTGCAATGTCTGACGTGCCAACATATGTCATGCCGGAAAGCATGGGGTTGCTTAATTGCAACTATGACACATATGATCGACGGCATTGAAGTCAATCCAGCGACTTTGCTAGTTCCGTCAGTTAGGCACCGAAATGCTGCTGAGATGCTCGGTATCTAGTCGGTTGATTCCATGACTAATCGCACCTTATCTTCTTCGAGTTTACGTTTTGCCTTCTGTTTTGAGAAAATCGTGCCTTAATTGGTAAATACGGTCGTCTGAAACGCGGACGGAATTCGCGCGTAACGTCACGAATATAAAGTTTAATGTGCGCAGTAATTATTTTATAAATATTAATTATTTCAAACACTAATCTGCATTTATTTTTTTATTTTACAGATCAACTTTCTGCGCGTAATCGGTGCTACAAAATATATTCGTTCCGTCATATAGTATAACAAAATGCGCGTCGGGAGTGCCGTTAATGCCGAGAGTTATAGCGAATCTATAGATGAACGCATTTTTGCTGTATGACAAATATTGGGACACGATTTTTTTTGACTTTAGGCTTGGCTCGGGGGAGGGAAAGGTCGGTTTCAATCATAAAATCTCGACTACGGCAGGGCAATCTTCGGTTCTACGTGCAGCGCGCTAGTTGTACAGATAGCCGGACTGTCAAAGGTAGTCGAGGACGGCTACTGGAGTTAGTCAAACGCTACCGATTGCTTTTCAGATGTCTTGTATCTAGTCGGTTGATTGAATGACTAATCGCACCTCATCTTCTTCGAGCTTATCTTTGCCCTCTGTTTTGAGAGAATCGTGCCCCAATTGGTAAATGTGGTCGTCTGAAATGCGGACGGAATTCGCGCGTAACGTCACAGCTTGGACAATTCGGTTCGATTCGCCTGTGACGTCGGGAGTGCCGTTTGAAGTGCCGCGCGATTTTTACATTCGGGTATGCGCGCGAGCAATGCGCGCGTCGCGACGCGTGTGAGTGCTTGGGACAGCCACTGAGAGAAAGACGAGGTCTAGGAGGCATCGGGCGACGGCGATGCAGCATTGTGGTAAGTAATTTATCATAAAAAATGCAAATTTGGCAATAATGGACAGGCTATCTTGATATGCATGTGAAATTATCTTTCATAGATAATTCCGCGGATAACCATATTTCAATAATCATGGATACATTCACATTATTTAGTTTGATGATAAATTCAGCTTTGTGTGAGAGATTTATAAACTCCTAACTTGCATCAACATGTCACTTTACGCGTTTAAAACTGTTCATCTATTTAAATATTATTTGTTTCACACTTTTGGATTTAGAATATAAAACAATACATAAATTATTGGATCGAGAGATTTAAATAATGGAAAGAGATATATTGACCATTTATTAATAATTAATTAAAAATCTAAAAAATAGGATTATGAAGTTATATATATAGTTATAGTTCTGATCTGAACGCTTATATTATACCTTTAAATTTAATGAGCAAGAAAAGACTAAAATTATTAGTTAAATTTGTTCAAATTATATATGGATATTCTTTACAAAGTTTTGAAACTCAACTATTACTTTTTATGTAAGTTTTTACGCCATGCTACATGCAAAGATTTCAATGTTGATTGTATCTTAAGATACATTGAAAAATTTTCATAAAAATAAGTTGAGAAAATGCTTATTCCTGGATAAAAACTAGCTATGTCTGCGACAAAGCAAAGAGAGGCGAGTGTACACGGACGTTTATATACATACAAAATATGTATATATGTATAGTATACGTGTTACGAACTGATCCCATTTTCCAAGCCTACAGAGAGAACAAATTGCGATTTTACGAGAAAAAAATGAGATACCGTCGATAGTAGTCGATTCGACGCGAGAGTACATCTTTCCACAGGAAATTTGTACGTCGTTAAGTAACGGATTATAATCATCGTTTAAGTCCTCGTCACTCTTTAGTTTCGCAATGATCTTGCGATTTTGTTTCGTACCGACTGATTGCATAGCTAAAAGCACATTGGGGGACTGAATGCCGAGGGAAGATATCAACGCGTCCGTCCCGTATACGAATGTCGCGCCGAGGAGAAATCCAACTGCGACCGGCACGAACGCGAACTCGCCGTTGTGTCCGTATATCTTGCTCTCGGTTGCCATTTCGATCGCTGGTGCGAGCAATGACCAGTAACTCGCAGCTACCATCACGCCAGCGGCGAACCCCAGGCTGACATCGAGGAGCTTACGCTGAAACGGAAACGCATAATTAGATATATGCGGCTCCTATGTTAGAAAATGTAGATAAAGGGGGTGAAAAAAGGAGATAAATTTCGTCATTTCTGATCCGTTTCTGCTTTGTAACCTTATTTCTTCTTGATAATTTTTAAAGTTGTTATACACATATTTATCTTCCAATAATGCTTAAACCATAATTAGCCCTTCTTTTGGTTTATATCATCATCCTTTTTTTTATTTCTCTTCTTTTTCTTCAAGAATATAGATCGCGATCCTAAAAAAAAAAATAAAAAAAAACAATTTATTAATCGAAAAGTTGTTAAAACATTAGCAATAAAATTTAAAGTTTCCTTAGAATTGTATATATAAATTAATTTTCGCTGCTTTCGTTAAATTCAAAAAGTAACATGTAATTCTAATTTCTGTCGAAATATTCGAGGTGTGGCTTATACATATTTACTGAAACGTGCGTTAATCGCTTACGAGAGAAATTGAGAAACTGTATCAGCATTTTATAAAAAGTGTTTGCCTTATCTCGTATATCAACGCATGAAAATATGATCGGTAGCATCAACTTCTATCTCTTGCATCGTAAAATTGTGATATCAATTAGATAATCCTTAAAGCAAATAATAACGTAATGCTAAGATTTTAGTCAAATATTGACAAAAGAATGCCCAAAACGGTCTCTCCCTGATTTTTTATTTACTTAAGAAGTATAGTTCAAAAATATAAAAACCGATTTTTTATATAAATTAAAAATAATATTTACAAAAATTTGCGATATTCATCGAGTTATAATAATCTGATTTATTTTTACGAAGTTCACATAACAAAACATAGAATGGACATCATTTATTATATTAGCAATATATTGGATATAATATCGTAACCTTTTTGTATAAAAAAATTAATTTCTTTTTGCAAATAGTAGTAAATATTTACTGCGCGTATTATAAAATTTCTTTCACGTGGCATTGTTTTTCTGTTTCAAGATTTGTAGTTTTACTTACTTGACATTGTAAATTTGTAATCTTATCATAGAACTGTTCAACGAATACGCATACATTTCATTGTGTTAAAAGCAAAATTTATTATGCAATAGATAATGTTGCGCATTAGAAGGAAACTATTATTTTTATAGTTGCCATTTCCATGAAAGTTTGATATCAGATATTGATAATATTGAGAAAAAAATATATATATTTGCTATCTCATAAGAAATAAGGAAAAGATATATATAATGTAAAAGATGATTTTAAAAATATATAAAATCTAATGACGCAATCATCACTTTTTCTAACAATATAAAGGCTTATTATGACATTGCCATATAAATAATTTTATTTACTTTAAATTTGTTTAGAAAGTAATTAGAATTGAATGCAGTTAAAGAAAAATATCTTATTAGTATTTATATCAATTAAATAATTAACCTTCAAGTTTATCACATAAAATTTGCAAGCTATATAATTTCCACAAGTTGCTTCCGTAATTTACATATGTTCAGTTTTATAATATTGCAAAAAGCGAATTAATTAAATCATTGAAGACTATTTATCGAGTAATTTGATGAAAATGGAAGACAGAAATTATCGTTGAAGTCCGCATCGTGCATAAAATTCTGTTTATATTATAAACAATTACACACATTTATATCATAAACGTGCATATTTCTGCTTAGAGAAATTAAATACGATATTGAACGTAATACGTACGACTTTGTTTGCATTATTAGTTGCATTTTTGTATGCATATTTATGATCATTGTTTATGGTGACATGCAAATCTATCTGGATAGATTTTAACAACGTGAAAGCGTGCGATATATACGACGAGTCGTTCTCGTAATACATGCATGGATTAAATCGCATGGAGGAAGCAGCGGATTATGCGAGCTCGCCAATCGCCGCAAGGTGGAGAGAGCCGTTGTTGCTGCGACTTCATTGAACTAGCTCTAAATTTAAATGCATCCAAGTATTCGGCCAAAATAATTCTGCTTACGCAAATGATCAACGTTTCTGTTTTCGCTCGCTCTTGGTAATGACAGTAATCTACTGATAACAAAAATTTCAAAATTTGCGTGCGTCAACAGGATTCTTCTTCCACTACGCAAGTGTCGTTTCAACACATATTGCAAAACTATAAAAATATAAAATTGTAAAACTTACATTTTTTATTCGCAAATTTGCAGCCAAAAAATTCCACTACAGAATTCACTGAAGTTTTTTAATACACTTTACATAAAATTTTATATATAATTTTAATTATTCTTTATAATTTAATTTTTTATATAATCTCTTGATCTACAAAATGTAACGAAATGTATAAGTACTCAGTTTTGAGACATTTTGGAGAATGTGAGTTTAACATCTAGATCTCTCAAAGGAACAATTATTACATCATTATTATGGGGTAGAAACGCATAAATAAAAAATGTAATTAACATATTGGGTTTGATTATGTGACAATATAAACTGTAAAATTGTAACAAAGCAGTTTTTTTTCTTTGTAACGTCGAAAACTGTGTTGATTAAAACTTCTCAATAGAGACGTGATTTTTATCAGCATTTATAATGAGAGAGTTGAAATTCAAGGTTTTTTAGACGAACATTATTAAAACTGCAACTAAAAAATTACATCATATTTGTCACTTATCAAGTATTTATCACAGAAAAATAAAAAGTATAGTTGAAAGAAACACGTTAATTTCTACTTCAAACAGAGAATGTCACATAAGGGTAGGTGGGCGCGATTAAGGTTAAAGTGTTAAGATTGAGGTTAAGTTTGCCACGATAACTGTTGGAATTTCGATAGATGTTGAGACGAGTCGCGTGTTAATTAAAGTGTTAAAGAGATTTATAGTAAAAAACGAAGTACCCTTTGCGCGAAAAATGCGATTGTAACACTCACTTGTTTTCCTCGAATAATGACCACGAGAGCGGCGCCGGCCGCAGTGAGAGCCCACGTGAATAGGGTCCCGAGGAGCGCCTGAACAATCGGTGAATGATCCTTGAGCATCGTGCCTTCGTCACATCGGGCAGGTCAAGCGTGGTGTATGGTTGACGCGTGTCTGGAGGCGAGAGCGAACGGGCGAGCACGGACGCGCGAGCCAAAACGACGGCATGCACTCAGTCCCCCGCGCTGTTTATCTCACTTTATCTCAACCACTACGCACACCACCGACACACTATATAATTATGGCTACTACTACTTATCCGAGTGCGAAAAATATGTATGAAGCTGCAAGTATAGTGCGCTACGTATTACTGCACTACGACCGCATCGCGCGCGCACTGCTGTCCATCGCCCCGCCGTATTCGTCTATCGCGACTTCCGAATATCGTAGGCGCGCAGGTCACGACGTACGTACGTAACACACGTACGTCGTCTATACATACGTGGATCAGAGTACGCGTGCGTATATGCGTGGGTGCGTATGCATAGCGTGGGTGTGGACGACGGGTAAGAGCACGCAGGGCACCTTCGATTTCTCCCTCACACTGATAAGCAGGGTTGATCACGTACGCCAGCGGGGCACTGCTGCGCGGTCAATGGCCAATGAGTAGGCAGTACGAGGTCCACGTGTGCGAACAAATCTCGCGGCCGTGTCGGCGCCACGTCTCAAGGTCCTGTCCGTACCGGTTATTAACGATGTCAAGGCGATCACCTTGATCATCAATGTCCGACGGTGAAACGCAAACGTCACTCTAAAGGTTTTGAGAAAACAACTGCGTTTTTGCTCGGCTGAACCGCTAACAATAAGTACGCAATTATTGGTTGTGAGGCGCTACTGTCAGCCGCAGTCGTAGCAGACGACACACTTGAGCTGTCAATGTGCAAACATGGCGTCCGCAACGGTAGGTGTACGCCGATCTTTCGTACGTTCTTCCGCATACTGACGCCACATGTTTTTTTTAGTCGTAGCGCCACCGAGTATTCGATTGTCTTGTAGAGCGAAATATAAGTGTCATTTTGTTACGGAGGAGACCGAGAGTAATTGTTCTAATCGTTGGAAGGTCGTTACTCTGACATTCGCTTGCGCATTTCCGTATGTATATTATCGAAGAAACGTTTCCTGCACGATAATTATACGCTCCTACTCTCTGTGGAAGCGAATGTGGGCAAACGGTGTCTTTGGGATTTAACTTCGTGGCTCGCCTTTGTCTTTTTCGTTTTCGAGAAACATTTCACGTTTTGAGTTTCTTCATCCATAACACAGAAATGCAAATTATGCATGATCTTGAAGTAAATTGATAAACGCATGCCTGACACTCCTTTTTCGAATGTTCTGCGATCTATATTTTTAGGTACCTTTACTGATGGATGACGATACAATTGCTTTTGGAGAGGAAGAGGAGGCTGCTCAAAATGCCAACAAGCTTAAGTACATATGATGAAGATGCTTGTTAACATAAGTGGAAATTATAGTATATATAGCGGATTTGTAAGATAAAATATTATTTCTTATAATTCTAGACACCCGTACGTTACATTGTTTCACTTGGCCTTCAGGATAGCAGCCATAATGGTTTATTTGCTTTGTGGAATATTTTCAAATAGTTTTATAGCGAGCTTCGTAACAGTGGTACTACTTTTGTCGATGGATTTTTGGACAGTTAAGAATATCACGGGAAGATTAATGGTCGGCCTTAGATGGTGGAATTATGTGGATGACGATGGCAAAAGTCATTGGGTTTTTGAATCTAAAAAGGTTCGCTTGATTATATACATTCTGATTTATATTTCTAGGATATAGTAATGAAAAATTACTCGAGTCTTGTTAAATTTTGATTTCTGATTTACAAGAAGGTGTATTTTAAAAACAGGCTTTTGTTTCTTGCATTATAACAAGAATTTAATTCTGTATTGAAGAAAATATAATCTTATATTATGTTGTTTATAAGTTTTAGTTATAGTGTTACATAAATTATATTAAAATGCAGCTTTCAATTATTAAATATCATTTTTTATCAGTCACGTTCCAGTGGATGCTGGTTTAATTGGATTCAATATTTCAAGGTTCAGCTGTTGTTCATTAACGCCCTTGACATTTTCTACATCATTGTTACTGCTTATACATTATTTTGATATAATAAAATTATGTCTTGTTGCAGCTGCTAATTATATATTGTGGATATTTACCTTGTAGCTGATAAAATGAACTAGATTAGTTACACATAGTTATTTAAACATAGTTCTTATATATAAATCCAATGTCTGCTAGTGCCCTGTGTTTCAGGGTGCACAACAGAACCGCATTAATGCAACAGAGGCGCGAATCTTTTGGTTGGCTCTGATATTATGCCCATTTTTTTGGTCAATATTATTTGTCACCGGATTGTTCGGTCTCAGATTCAAATGGCTTTTGATCGTCTGCATTGCCATTGTTTTGAATGGTGCAAATCTATATGGCTATGTTAAATGTAAAATGGGAAATGATCAAAATATTTCAGCAGCAACCAGTGACTTCATCAGGAAACAAGTTATTCAAAATGTATATCTTTTGTGAAGATTAATATAATCAAATGTAATTTGTCATATAATTTTTTTTATATTCATATACTATTGTTATTTTGCTGTAGGTTTCTTCAATGATGACTAGGAGTCCTCCAACAAATAATTCCAATCAACCAACTAATGTAATATAAACTTGTGAATTTATAAGCGCTAATGTGTCATCTAAAATTCATATTTATATGATGGATAATTTAATAAATATTTACAAACAGTTTGTACATAATAATATCGAACATTATCTTTTAAGTATTCTATAATAAATCGTTACCAACCTGTATCTTTCATTGTTATAATTTGATACTTATTTTTTTATCCACAGTATCCATTATATCGGTGTTTCTTGATGCTACCAAGTAAAGGGCTTTTATATTAAAGAAGTGAACAATTTTTACGTTAGTACTAGTTTATTAATGCCGCAAGGCAATACATAATGTACACGGTATTTTTCCTTGTCAACAGACTTTTCCTATTACACAATATTTATTTTTTATAGTTGTTAATTAGTAACATTGCATTTATCATGTTTACCTCAGCCTGTTGTATTCTTTCTGGCAAGAAAGTATCACAAAATAATTTCCCATTCTTTCAACGATATTTAGTATTTGACTTATTCTTTGCTTTTAAATTCATATTCTTCTTCGGATCCGCGACCGCAGTCACTTTACTTGATTCATCTACAGATGAATTTGAGGCGATCTTATACACACAGTAACAAACTCGCTATATTGCACGGAGCTAAATGAGCCGATTGTATTTCGTTATATTATCAAAACTGCTCCGAAAACGCGAGTTGTGTACGTTTTCAAGAAGAAGAATACAACAAACCACATATTGCTATACATTTTAGGTCATAAAAAATTATAAAGACTAACAAGGGTCACGCTACTAAAGTACAACGTACACGAAAGTTTTGGAATGATACAAAAAACTTAGTTATTACAATTATTACGTTATAATATAAATGTACGAATATGTCGTGGACTTCCTTGTAGCGATAATTTTAGTGAGTATAGATTAACGATACCAACTTATAACTAATAGTATATTTATACAATAATTTAATTCCGTCATTCATAACGTATTTTAGCCTGGAACTTTTTAAATGTGAAGCCATTAAGAAATTTCGTGAAGTACATATATCGATAATAATTATATTGAAGTTTCAACTTGATAAATTTTGCCACGAAAGTTTTGCCAAGTGTGCTATTAAAACTTAACACGTTATATAATTATCAGAAGAATATTTAATGAGGATGAACGTTTAATGAATTGTTACAGATGAGAATACCTATAATGATTTGAAAGTTATTTTTAGCAAAAGTCTTTAATTTCTCTCTTTTTTTAAGAACGTTGTAATAAAATCCATAGTGTGTACAGGGCGTTTGACTTTTAAAGTTTAAGAGCTACTGAGTTATTTATTGAGAAATGTTTTTATAATGAGAAGAACCACTTCATTGAAATGAGGAAATAATCAATGTAGTTTAATTTTATGTGTTGTAAACTATAAATGAATAATTGTACAATGGATTGCAGATTGCAGAATGGGATAAAAATATTTCAATGGAAATAAATTAGTATTATTTACAGGTGAAGCCTGCCAATGTACAACACATAATTGTTAAAATATCATTTACTCTTATCCTAAATGCCTTTAACATATCGTTTTGAGTTTTGTGTTTAGCGGTCTCAGTCATATATTTTAATGTAAGAGAGAGCTAATAAACATTATCCAGTCATACACCATGTATAACATTTCATTAGCAGTAGCTTGAAGAGTGTGAGTCAGCTCTGGTGAATCGTTAAATATCAATTACAGTCTTTGAACTTATCCATTTACTTTGAACTTAAGAAAATAAAAGATGCCGCAGAGAACCGTATATTCTACCATACCGTACAAAAGAATAGTTATGACTTAATTTGCGTGAGAACATTCAATAGCAGCAAAAAAAATTATATATATATGTATATAGAAAAAAATATATAAAAAAAATTTATTAACGCATTTTACATATAATTTAAATTGTCAAAAGAAAATAATAGTATAAAAAATATTGTATAAATATACCCTTTTCTAACTCAAATTAAGAATAATTGCACAATTAATTGTAAGTAAATAGCTATTTATGATTACACTGAAGGCCAAACATTGAGAGTTATGATAAAAAATTGTTGCCAACTGAAAACACTTAACATAATAACTTATAATATATCATTAATGCAAATTAAAAATATTAGTATTATGTGATGAAACTTATAAGATGTAAGACAAATTATAGAATTATTTTTATAAATAGTATTACCATTATTATTATACGTAGTAGTATTATTTTCATTATAAATTAGTGAAAAATGCCATCGTTATAAACGGTTTAACAGGCAGTGAAAAGTGTGATGCGAGCACTTATACATACATTTTAATAATAATAAAATAAATTAAGTACTTTTTCAAGCACAAGAAAACATATAATATTAAATGCTACATAAAATGGCCCTCAGTTTAATAACGGAAGAAAATAAATATAATAATAAAGCGAGTAAATAATATTATTTTTTCAAAATCGTATCCAATTCATAAAGGAATATTTTGAAAAACAATGTAGAGTACGTCCGTCGAAACAATGAGATAAACACGATTAAAAATCACTACTAAAAAAGTGTAAAATCGTGAATAAAAAAAGGAGATATAAAAAAATGGAATATTATAAATAGATACAACCTAGTTGTGAATAGATTATGCGTTTTTCTTTTCAGTTAAAACTTAACTTGATATAGTCTGGAAAATTTCCACTGATTTTTAAATATCTCCATGTCCATATGCACACTCGCATCTCTTTTATGATATTTATAATATATATCTATGTATATATATTATTTATCATTTTATATTTATATGTATATATTTATATAATGTTACTAATGACAGACGGTGCATTTATGTACATTTAGTCACAGTTCCTGACCCTCGAACCACTGTAATTAACGGCGAAAGAGATATACTCGAACCGAACATATTCCAATAGCGATTTCATGATTTTACGCAATAGAGTTGTGCAAAGTCATAAAATCTCTATTCGAATATAACATTAATTACCTGATTTTAACATTTCAAGTGTATTTCATAATAGGTGTGGAGTCGTATGCAGCCAGGGAAATGCCAAAAATCAGGGACAATATATTTTAGGAGCACTATTTCAATAATGTCTCATATTTATCATTATATATGCATCTTATGCACCTTTTTAAATCGGTATTTTCTAAAATGTTAGTTATAAGATGTTGTTATATCAAACAGTACTATTTTGAAGCATGGAAGATGTAAATGAGTGAACTGTTATTGTCCTCATAGACTGGAGTTTGCAACTTTAAATTACAATATACATACACATTGGATACTTTGTATCCAAAGTTATGTAATGCTATAAAATTGACATGTCAAAATAATGGTGAAAATAATTAATTGGTGTTTTATAAAATTTAATAAAATCAGTAATTCTAATTATATTGTAAATGTAAAAATTTTGAAAATGAAGTATATTTATAGGTGATTAATGTTTTTATTTATTAAATAAAATAAGCACTTAATGTGTTTATTTTTATTAAATCACCGGTATTATAAATATTCAAATTTCTTACTAATTTATGAGTTTATTATTATATAGAATTACCGAATTAAATATTTTCACCATAAGAAATATATTGTGTGACTTGTTCTTCATCATGTGTTTTTGGCATTAATCTGACATTTGAAAAAGGAAAGGCATGTGTTATTAGTGTAAAAAATCCAATGTATCATTAAGAAATATAAATACTCAAGTATAAATTTGATTTCAACATTAAATGTATCTATACGTGAACATTGAGTTAATGTAAAGACTGATTGAACTTATATGTGTGAGACGTACTATCTATTTCAATATATTTAAAAGGCAATTAGAAGTATTCGAGGTAGAAGCTACATTGAAACTTTGTACATATGGGTGTCGAGGGCTCGGAAGAACAGTACATGAATTCAACATACAGTGCTGCTATTTAAATTAGTTCTTTTTTTTCTTTTTTTATAGAAATGTGCGCAAATTTGTTTGCGCACTTTTTTTGAATGTAGGCACCGTTTCCTTTCATCCTTCTTTCACGCGACTCATTTTTATCTCATCATTTCCCTAATGGCGTCACTTATTCTAGCCTTAAACAATTTCTTATGATCTATCTAACATTATTATAATAGGTATTGAGAAGATCTCTACCATTTATAATGAGTACAGCAGTAATAATTGTCAATTTGGCAGTATGGCAATTTTCTTGTTTTTTGTGAGCGGAAATTTTCATCTCTCTTTCTCTCTTTTTTTTGTAATAGCTACAGAAAGTTATTTAATTGCTTTTTCGATCTATTTTTTCTACATCAATAAGTACTTGTGGAACGTAGCCACGAACGGTGAATTGTAAATTTTCGTTTTTATACGATACGCGTTTTATACAGACGCAGTCACTCGTACAATTCGATATTTTATTTTATTTTTTTTAAAGACATGAACGTCGATGTCAGCACCCTTTCGTTCCTCTATGCAATTGCTACTGCAGGAAGCACTCGTGTCTTCAATAAACAGGAAGGGTTTGACTTTCGCTGTCTCAGTTTTCGGTAAGAGGTACCATACATGAAAAGACACGTAATGCACTACATTTCGGGTGGGAGAGATATTGAGTGGTCATATTTTCAGTCTATCTTAAAATTAGATTATCTAGACGTTAAAAAATGCTTTTACGGATGATCGATTCGGTAATAGGATATGTTCCAATTCACTAATCCTCGAATGTGAATTCTACGCGATGACGGCTCATGATTTTTTGATTTACATCGTACTTAATTGATTTTTCGACAGAATGTCTGGGAATTGAGAAGTTTGTTTTATTTTGTTTCCAAAAGATCTTGTGATGTGAAAAAAGAACGTATCTATGTATGATAACGTGTGATACTATTGCTCGTACAATCACGTGTATTGTACGTATTTCTAAACGGCAGTTTTGACTCGCATCAATCGCGAGGAAATTTTCGAGTCTAATTTCTAAAAAGAGATCGGTTAAATGCGTTTCCGGGCATTTGCTATATATCCGTCAAGAGTGAAAATTTCCGGCGTATTTGCATTTACTGCAACACCATTGACTAAACATTTTATTTCTATGTTAACTGCCCACGATACTATATTAATCGCGTCGCTCTACTGTATTTGTCCTTGGAAGGTACGAGTATGTCACACGGCTTTATTGTACTAGACACGTCGTACTTTTGCTCTTTCGACATCTCTGTCGCCTCGCCGGTCTCGCTTGTCCCTCGACAGATCCCTCTGCTCACGTGAGTCGGCTTGTCAGTTGGCATAATGATCAAAGGAGCCTAAGTACTCCAAACTGGCTCGATAGCAGAATTGATATTGATCCTGCGAGAAGAATATCGTGAAAGACATTATCGTTGCGCAAATATGTGTTTGGTGGAGTATTAAAGTTAGAAGTTTACGTACCTCGGTTTGAACCATGGCTGGACGTTGCGTGCGTAATATTCTTACAGTCTGGAAAATGTCCACCACGCCTTCATATTGCATTCGCTCCAGCACGATGCTAAGCGTTATAAAGACACCCGTTCTTCCTACGCCGGCGCTACAATGCACGGTGATCGGTCCGTCTTGACCAAATTGTTCCTTCGTTTTGTGCACCTGACCAATAAAGTCGATAAAACCATCGCCGGATTTCGGTACGCCCTGCTCCGGCCAGTCAATGAACTGGAATTGCCTGACCGTGCGGCTGGCGCCGTCGCGCGCGTCCGTCACCTTGAACTCTCGTAGAATGTACTGCGGCATGTTGTACTCCGCGATCGGATCCACGACAAAGCACTGATAACGGATAGATCGGTCGGACGGCCAGTACTGGTGACACTTTTCTCTGCCCATCTCCTTCAATTTCGTCAGCATGACAACGATTGTAGAATTGTGTTCCCACAGCATGCGCCAGAAATCGTCGGTGGTATCACATAAAGGACCTTGCGTCGCTATGTAAGCTCCTCGGTAGCGATAGCCGTCAATCAAGCTGGCATTTATGTAATCGGATCCTTCGATGTTACGCTGCGGCTGCAGGCACACTCTGGTGCACTCGTAAGGCAGAATGTGGACCAGTCGATTCTTATGCTTGTTACAAGGCAGATTCGCGGAGATGAATCTAGTTGAGTCGGCTTTGATGTTAGAAAGCTTCTTGAATTCCAGTTCCATTCCGGTTATATTGTCGATTTCTGGTTGCATGAGTTTCTGAATGTGGGAGTGCAGATTTCTAGCCGGCACTTCCGTGTTACCGCAGATCACCGCTTCGAGCAGGGCGTCGTGGATGAAGATATACTGATCCTCCGTTTGAACCATGTAATTCCTCTGAGCGCGCAGACAAGTGACGTGGCCGTAGATGTCGATCATCTTCTCGTGTTTGATCCTTTCTAGCATTGAGTCTATCACGATGAAGCAACCAGTTCTTCCCACACCCGCGCTACAGTGCACCACTAACGGTCCGCTGTCGGGGATATTGAGAGACCGGACTCTGCGTAGGAATTGCAAGAACGGCGCAGGATGTTCCGGCACGCCGTGATCGGGCCAGGCCGTGAATTGTAGTTGCTTTATCTCCCGCCGCTCGGAATAGCCCGCTCGACAAACCTGGAACGTGCGGATGCAGTAAGTCGCCAATTCTTGGACGTCGCTGATGGTCACGGTCATCTGTCCGTAGGTCTCGGAGCCCCTGGTGGGCCAGTACTGGTCGCACTTTATCCTCGTTCTCTCTTCTAACTTCGTCATCATCACGATCGTGCTGGTGCGCAATTCCCAGCACATACGCCAAAAGTCACCGAATGTCTCCTGCAGAGGTCCCTGAGTGGCCACGTACGCGTTCTGCTTCCTGTAACCGTCGCAGTAATTGGCGTTGATGTAATCCGAGCCCGGCATGCCGTCGACAGTCTGGAGGATGACTCGCGAATGGTCGTACGCGATAACGTTGGCGTAACGATTCTTCGACGCGTTGACTTCCATGTTGGAATGGTCCCACGTGAATTGTTGGCCGGGTTCTATCGATTCGTACTCCTGGCTGAACTTCAGATTGTCGTTCGCTTTCAGACGTTCAATGTGATTGCCCAGTTCGCTGATAGGTATTGGCGGGTGCGAGATCATACCGGGAGTTTGGAAATTTAATCGTCGCATCTCCACCGGATCCGACGGCGCGTGATTAGAACTTATGTCAGCCGCCATGAGCGGTCGCGTAACGGCTGCCTGATCCGGAGCTTTGCACGGCTGCCTTCGTCTAGAAATAATTACGGAGCAAATTCGATGAGCGAATTAGTTCTTTAAATTATTTACCCTTTTTTTTCCTGAGAAATACAACTTACTTTTTAATGACGAATAAAAGCACGAGACAAACGCTGACCATCAATGCCGCTATTATGGGGCCGACGACCCACACCATGCCTGGCTCTTGACCCGCAGTTGGAACTCCAGAAATGTCTGGACTTCCATCTGCAGGCGTGTTGGGATTTGGTCGACGCGGTGGCTCGCCTGGAGGTACTTCCCTCATGTCCAAAGACAAGTATTCAGAAAACGGCGACGACGTATATAAATGCTGAAAGTAATATTTTTTTCTTAGAAAAAATCATTACTTTATAAATATAATAATTTCTTTTTTAATAATCACTACCTATTAATTACGGCGCCTTGAGACTTACCTTTCGCGGAGTGTCGACTACGGCGCGTACGAATATCCTGTAGCGTCTATTTTTAACGAGCTTTCGGTTTTCGTATCCCTCGTATATGTCTCCGCTGCCTAAATGGAACGTATACGGAATATCTCTGTGAGGAAATTTAGCGGCGATGTAAGGTGCGTTTTCCCTCTCCTGCTTGCCTTTCCCGGTGATCATGTCCTCGGTCAGTTCGTCAGGCTGCTTATCAGCCGTACTCTTGTCCTCGGGCACGACGATCAGGTAATAGTGCGAGATCGGGCCGTATTCCTCGGAAGCTTGCGGTAAAATAACTTGTATCTCTTCGCCGTTGACCACGCCGTAGAAATCCGGTTTTACCATCGGCTTCGGCGCGGCCATCTGCGTGGTGACGGTGATCTTGGCCGGTGGTTTGTATTGCCCCTCGCGCGGTACAACGCTTACATTGACGTTGTAAGTTGTGAACGGTTGTAATTCGTTTATTGTCACGCTCGATATGTGAGGCTCCAATAGGATTTGCCTACGAGGCACGAGCTGTGTTTGCGTTATACCCTGAGAATCGACGAATTCTTTGACAGCGTCGAACGAAACCTTATACTTTGTCGGAATCAGTCTTATGGGCGGGGACCAAGAGAGGGTCATCGAGTGCGTGGACGAGTCCGGCGCTCTGAGATTCAACGGCACGTCCTCCGGCTTTACTTTCACCGTCACCTTTTCGCTGAGTCTTCCCAGACCGGACTTGTAGCGCGCTGCCACCGTTATGGCATACTGAGTGAATTTTTCCAGATTAATTAGATCCGCTGATTCTGTCAGACCAACACTTTTCTTCTTCCACTCGTCCAGATCCTCCACAGCGGTTGTTGTGTAGAAGATCTGATAACCGGTGATCTTTCCTCTGTTCGGCACCGACTCCCACCACACTTCCACGCTGGAGTCCGACGTCGCCACGGCTTGTACTTTCATCGGAGCGCGACCGATGTCCGCCGCGGTCATTATTGTGATCTTTTCGGAGTACGGACCGCTACCTTGGGACGTACGCGCTCGTACGTGGAATACGTATTCCGTATTCTCCTCTAAATTAGTGAACACCGCTCTCGTCTTGGTTGTGTTTCTATCTATAGTGGTGGAGTGATCGTTCTTCTTGTTGAATTGCACATCGTAACCGATTATTTGACCGTTTCTGTGCTGCCGAAGCGGCTTTTCCCACGTCACGCATACGGTATCAGGAGTTTGAAAAAAGTATGACAGATTCGTCGGTGGCCCGGTCGGTTCGCCTTCCGGACTAAACCAATTTTTCACCGTTTCCTGACCGAAGCCGATGTCATTTTTGCCAGCTACTCTAAACTCGTAATCGACTCCTTGCTCTCCTACAATTTATTATTTGAAAAATTGGCTTGTGAAACAGAGAGATAAGAATAATTAAAAAATTATTTAATAAAAAGTTATTATAGTGCAAAGAAAGTAGGATACACAACATATATTGTATGTATTCTTCAAGAATATTTAGTACAAATTATCTTTTTGCAGTACAGAATAACAATGATAATATTTTTAAATTTTTTTCTCACCGAGATCCGTGATTTTGTACGTGCGCTGACGCATGTCATCGATAAATTCCTCTTTGAGCGTCTGGTTTTTTATACCATATCGAATACGGTATCCTAGCAGATTACCGTAGATCTGAGTGGGTTGATTCCATTCCAGCTCCAAGATGTAGGGATCTCTGCTCAATACTCTGAAAAAGTAATGCACATAGAAATCGATCCATTGCGATAAAGCTGCTGACAAAAGTACGATATTTTATGATCTTAGGTAATTCTTACTTCACAGCAACTTGCGGTCTGTTTGGTACACCGCCCGGTGTTCTAACGTGAACCGGTACCGAACGATCCCCATCTCCTTTTCTCGTCAGAGCGGCTACTTGCACTGAGTATCTCGTATCCGGTTGCAGTCCGGTGATATTCACTTCTAGCACGCCGTCATCGTGCACATCTCGACGTATCGGTTCGTTGGTGAATGAATCTTTTCCCTGAAAAATTATTACAATTTATTGCAAGCTCTCTATCATTTATTTATTATGTATTTTATTTAAAATGCGCGATATCTAATGTATGCGCGAATATTATGTATTAAATTAAATATAATAATTGCACCTTATTTACATATTAATTTGATTATTAGATATACGAAGCGTTTTACAAGTGTAAAAGACTTTAATTTTATTAAGATTATTTTTTAAATTTATGAAATTTTTCTTCATGCAATAAACTAAGAAATGAATTAAATAACATTGATGCTAAAATTTGTATAGTTGTAAAATTAAATCCATTTAATATTTTTCTATGAAAATAATCTATCTAAAAAACTCGAAATTTTTTTGCAATTTTTATGAAATACTGTAAATTTCAAGAAACTTTGTAATTTCGTATTCCTTAAAATATATGTTCTGTTGATATATGAATAGAGTACACGGGATATTTTATCTTAATGGGAAATATGATAGTAAAGATAAAGGGGCTGACGATAATACGTGAATATAGGGTCGATAATAAAGATAAAGGGATTCATCAATAAGCTTGTCGTGAGAACCTAAAACTTGTAATGCTATGCTATTGATCGTATAACAGCCGTAAACTGACCTCCTCTCTTACTTCCTGCACGTGTATGTGGTACCCTCGTATAACGCCGTTCTGATCTTTCGCTTTCGGTGGTTTCCACTCGACGTGTATCGTCGACGAGTTGATCGCCGAGACTTTGACGTCCTGAGGATCCCCCGGCACTGTAACGCAATCCATAATTAATTCGCGCACTTTACGCTCGTCCGATGTCACACTCACAGACACACGCCCATGTATACCCACAGACGTACAGGGGATAATAAATAATGGATTTATAAAGAAACCTAAAAACTGATAAACATAAGATTCTTGTGTAGAATGAAAGAAAAAGATTAAAAGGAAACACAAATGGAAAAAGTTTAAAACTATACATAAGTCGTTTGCAGTCTGTCCTGTCTCTGCCGGAAGATTATTATGTCATTATTTACACTTCAAAAGCGAGAATAACATGAGAAGCGAAAAGCGATAGTACATGTCGGTAGCCAAAGTACTTTTGTCGCAAGAGAAATCTGAAGATGAACCAAGAAAAGCGAGAAGTATGTAGAATTAGTTTTTTTTTATAACGCGAAAACATTTCCTTTACATCTCGCGACTGTTCGTCTGTCCAATTCGTCGCTGTAAACGGAAACGAAAAAATCTTGATGACAGCGAGAATGAGCGGTGAGATATGAAATCGAAAAGTGAAATGAAAACGATGTTTATACCAGCGGCTGCAGCGGCTGCGGAAAAATCATAAGTAAAATCATAGTTGTGTAAAGAAAGATGTAACGATAAAAAGAAGAAGATGAAGTAGTAATGGAGAAGGTAATTACATGCCGCCAATCACACACGGACAAAACGACGTACAAACAATATTACGAGGCACGTTGTACCCCATGCTCTACGCCCCTAATACGATTATGATCTTCCATTTGAATACCAATAATGCTTTTTTTTTCTTTCGATTTTTTTACTTTTTTTTCCTTTCGATTTTTTTTACTTTTTTTTTCTCTTTAACCCGCGCATGCGGTTCGTCTTCGCGTATTATAAGCGCGCGTAGATACGTCACCGGGTGTACGGTAAGGTACGCGGTAACGTTGGACACGATAACACAGCGGTAATATTGGAGAGTCCATGACTTGAGAGACCAAGTAGTTAGTTGTATGCAAGTTTCCGTACTCGCCGAGGGACGAAAATTGCAGTAACGACGACGACGACGACGACGACGATGACAACAACGACGACGACGACGACGACAAAACAGTTGCACGATCTTACTCCGTAATCAAACGCGATGAATTGCAACGACGATAAATATGCATGCCGCCTATTTACAACGTTTATTTACAATTACGACCGCCGCCAGTTGAAGTTAGACAGCTGCAACTGTCAACGTGGCGGCGACGTGTTTTCGCATTAAAGTCGCAACTTCTAACGTACGCGATTACGGGGGAATTGTCCGAAGGACGAGATAACTCGATTGTTTCATGGACGATCCAGTATTCGCGGTCGCTAAACGGCTAATTGGCGCGCTGTGAGAGAAAATGGGGAAAAACAAAAGTTCAGATAAAAAATCAGCATTTGCCTAATACCTACTTCCGCATGATATACAACAGTTAACAGCAGCTCTACAATGGGAGGATTCGCAAAAAATGAAACTTGCGCCGCAACGAAAGTATACACAGAAAATTTTCGAATCGCAGAAATGAATTGTTGTAGCGCGGTTTTGATGAGAAGCGATTGGTAGATCGCGTGCTCGCTCTGCTTCTATTAGCTCTCGCACGTATACACAATCAAGTAAGATCAAGATCACACTTACAATTTCGCTATGTAGCGCAAAAAACAAGGGTGGCGAGCGCGTTAATAATATATGTAATAATGTCTCTTAAGATTATTATTATATATTCGCTGGCTGCAGCAAAGAAAAAAAAAAAGACAAAATAACTGTAGGACGACACTTCGAGATTAGACTCTCTCGACAGACAAAAAAAAATAGTATATAGATATATATATGTATGCAAAAACGAGACGGAGACAAAAAGAAAAAGTAACAAAAATAGACGGTATAGAAAAATGTCATGGCACAACTCGAGACGAGCTAAGGGATACTCACTTTTTTCAGCTGCGCCCCAAAAGTCGCCAAAAAAGTGGGAAAAAAAACTCGTAAAAATTCGTGTCAACTTCGCACGTACATTGAGTAGAATTATAGTGTAATTTAATTAATCTTTAAGGCATATCAATGGGTAGCACACTACTGATTATCATCAACGTTAAAAATTGGCCCTTTCTATGTAATGGCTATTTTCGATTTTACGTGAAAAAGAATGCATGATAGAAATCTTTTATTCTCCTGTTCTCGAAGCAGGCACACTCGCATTCGCTCGATTTGGTTCTTTCGCTCCGGCCTCATGCGCTCGATGACAGTCACACCGCTTATATTTTAGTTCTCGCAACTGCTAACGAATGTCGGTGGCAACAAGATTCATGATTCCAATCGATCGTTACATCAGACAGAAAAAAAAAATGATCGCTTGGCCCTCGGTTGCAGTTGGTCGCAGAGAGGCGGGAGACGTGAGAATATCTTTTTTTTTTTTGGCATGCGCAATCACTACTCCAAATATGAAATAACTAAAGGCTCATGTTCACCTGCCTCGTGTCGGGGGAAAACGAGACGTCGAAAGTCGAATGTCTCGTGTTTCTCAAAATATGCCCGAAATCGCAGCTGCCGGTGGCAATAATCTTAGAATGTCGAGAGATCCCTCGAATCTCTCCCTTCCACCCCCGACACGAGACATCAAAGGGGGAAGACCTATGATAAAATGCCTACGAAAAGAAAGCTATAGGAAGGAGAAACCATAAGAAAGAATAAGGTGGACGGTTTCTAGGATATATCAAACGAGAGAAGGGTTTCGTCGTATTACTACGGTACTCTAGAAATGGGCAGTCTCGTGAGAAAAACTCGCGATTCCTCTCGTAATGTTTTTTCTTTTTTTTTTTACGTTAAAAAACTCACGGTACAAGATCGGGATATATGTCGGTGGGGTGGAGTGTCTTCTGAGGAAAAATTGTTTTTCTTTTTTCATTCTTTCCTTTTTTGCAACTCCAAAAAGTCACCCGCAAAAAACAGCAGCTCGATCAAAAACTTTTGTCGTTTCAGCAAAGGGGAGGCAGGGTAAATTAGAGAGAGAGAAAGGGAAGCCGAAAGAAAGAGGGAGAAGGAGATAGACAATAGAGCGAGGACCACTCTTTTTCTCTCGGTTTGGATACCGTAAAAAAGTATCTCGCTATTTGCTTCTCCTTCATCCTTCTTTTTTTCTCTCCCTCACTCTCAATGTCAACATCCACCCGCGCATTCATCCACGCAAAAATCACAAAATTCCGCGTAAAACGCGTGCGTAAATACGTTTCGACAGCCGTTGCCGAGACGCGGTGGTTGAGAGGTAGCCGTGCCGTTTATTTGATTAACGAATCGCGTGGTCCCGTACCTGTCGATGATCGAGTATAGTCGGAAAACTGTCGATGACATCTAAAATGTCTAATTCAAACTGGCGGAACTAGCTGGATCGAGCTAAAGGAAACGAATTGTTATAAATCATGCGCATTGTTGGGACATAACAAGTAATATAATTTACCAAGTATCAAGTAAAGAAAAAAAAAAATTGGAGAAAACAATCAGGAACATCAACGGACAGCCGAAGCTCTTGAGACTTTTAACATTACGCCTACGAAAGGAACGTTACTTCAACCGTTGCTTAGTGTAGTTCAGATACGAAAAACAAAAAGAAGATGAAAACCACATTTACATATACAATGTATAATTAATACCTTTTCTAAATACCCATGTAAGAAACATGTGCGTGTCCCTCGAGATAACAGATAAAATATATAGAGAGAATACTGTATGGCATTTTAAAGTAGAGTATTTCGTACATATCGAAGAATTATTTGAATAGTAAAAGAGTACTATGTTTGACTTACAGAGACAGAAGTTGGAAACGGATTGAAGTCTCGCATGCAGAGAGCGAAGGAAACGGCCGTCGAGCGGTTACGTCATTCCAACGAATTCGATTACATATGAAAATTAATGAAACCCGACGCTCCCGGTCCACATACGTCCAGATTGTCCGTTTCGTTATACGTAGTCAGCGCAGCATACGGTAAGTTTTTTGGGTAGTAGAGATAGCAACGCTTCACCCGGGCCGGACACTTGACGCAAAAAAAAAGCTGAGAATTCAATTCGGAATATGCACTCCGCATTTCCATTTTTTAACACGCGCTACTTTAAAAAGAATATTTCGCCGACGGATATTGAAATCATCGGTCGTTTCCGGCGCGGGCAAAGTCTGATGAGCCGACATTGGAAGCGATTTATTCGCCGAATCCACGGATTGTGGCTGATGAGCATATAAATAAAAAATATAATCAGAAAAAGGTCTGATGAATATTGGTATTCAAATGTTTCCAAGAAAACGTCTTGCGGATTTCTCTCTTTTTCTTTCTCAGTAATAGATCATCCGACTCTCTTCCTCGTCGAGGACGTTTGGGCGCAGAGAAAATTTCGCGCGAAACTTTCAATCTGTTGTATACCGCCTTTGATTGATCACTTCCCTGATACTTATTTCTCGTCACTTTTCGTGCACGCTTTCTTACGCGTCGTCCTTCTTCCATCCCGTATCCTTTTACACAATCACTCACGCATTCACGCGCGCAACCTTCCTGTCGCGGTCTCGAAAAAACGTATCGCGAGCCAATCTCGTCGAATGTAATTCTTTTCATAATAACATTCAGTACCGACTATAAATTCGTGCGCACATATAAAAAATTAAATTTTCGATAAAAAACATAATTTGCATGAATCAATTACTCGCACGTAAAGTAATTTTTATATTTACCTTTGAGCGAAAAAATTTTTCATGTGCGTATAATCGGCTTGAGCAAATCGTTCTTTATCTCGAAAATATCGTAAATGTTTTGTAAATGTTCACAAATTAATGGCCGATATTATTTCGCGGATATTAAATCGCTTTTACCGCGGCAAAACGCTGGAAGCAAATGCACGTTATTCGCCACAATACGCTTCCCGTTATTGTTGCCATCTCAGTCATTATCGAGCCTTTTGTATCGCGTTGTTTCGAGATCGCCTCAGGAGGTAGCTTCAGGTTACACGACAGTCGACAGTGGGGGGTGCTTTTCGAGAGTGCTTTCAGTGCTGGTGCTCGGCGGCACGATATTGCATCGTCTATAATAATATTTATTCGGACATGTGTATAGCCGCTGCTGTGCACGGTGCTCTCTCGCGCAACGCGTGAGCGTCAAACGCCTATCTATGTACGCATATCCAGGTTGCACACGCCCGCACGCGTGAATCCTACGTGAATGCTATGTGCTCGCTCGCAGCCGAATTGATCGTGAAAGCGGGTGCTCTTGGAATCGGTGCACAAGGAGGTGGCAAAGACTACGACGGCGGCGGCCGGCACCACGCGACGCACGCAATATGTGTTCGCGTGGCGCCACGAAGTGCGTGTATGCGTGCGTGGTGGGTGCGAGATATATTGTAAAACACACGGTGCCGGCGCGCTTATTTACGTTACTTTTTGCAAGGTGCCCGTGCACACATACGTACGGTGAGACAGTATATATATAATATCATAGCAGCGGTGAATATTTCGGTAAATAGTGAACGATGACAGTCAATAATAATAAGTAAACGTATGCGTAGAAGATATATATATGCTATACACGGTGAGATCTTTGTGCTTTGACAATGTGCGAGCTTACACGGCAGGGTGCTTTCAGCAGTGCTTTTTATCGTTTCGCTTCGCTCTGCCGAGTCTGCTTCAGGAGGGTGAACGTGTACCGGATCAGTTGCTTCATGGATAATGCCAGGAACGGGGAATTACTGGAGCAGGGGGGTGCAGGCGGGAAAGTGAAGAAACGAAAGAGAGGATCCGTGGGGTAGTCGAGGGGCAGAGAGGGCGGTCGTTCATAGTGGCGAATGGTGAAAGGCGTAAGGGAAGGTCGTTACGGACGCGTCGGTACGACTTTTCGCTCAACAATCATGGCCGCATAATACCTCCGCGACAAAAATGATGCTCTCCACGTGTCCGGCGCGAATATCTTCATAGCCCGTTAGAGATAAACAGGGTTCGTGCCGTATGGTCTTCTCCCCCTCCTCCGTCCCGCTTCGCTCTCGCCGACCGCTCTCGAATCTCTCCCGGACGAAATTCTTTTTTTCCCCCTGTCGTAGCTCCGGTTTACATTCAATTATTTTTTTTCAATCTCGCGTTCCGTTGTTTCTACTTACTCGCTCGCGCTGCGAAACTTTTAACGACCACCGGTCGTACCGCAACGCTCCGCCACTGAACCGAGAGAAGTTATCGTTACGATTAAATGATTTTCCCGGGGAAACACCGTGGCTAACGATTGCGCGGAGATTTATTTTTCAACGACTATACTATATAAATATCGTGCAAACAATTTTTTTCCCTCGGTGCCGAATCCGTTTGTTATGGGGATTGGATCGTGTCGGATCGTGTTATTCAGACTGGCGAAGGGGGAAGGGGGTGAAAAAACGTTCGACATGCGGGATCGATCGGCACCTTCGGCGGTGCCGCTCGGCCGGGACGGGGACGGGATGTAACAGAAAGCAAAACTGTCTCATGCATCGGCATGCCATTCATAGGATATAGATGGTAATAATGTATTTGTGTATTTCGGGAGGTGATCTCGCAGACTCGACACAGTTCGGCGGATTTTGGTGGAGGGTGACGGTGGAGAGAAGGTGGGCGGCCAAGTGGAATAGGCACGGGTTTGTTTCTTTTTCACTGGAAGAGGAGAGTTTCGAGGGGGTTTTTTTCGGGGGGTTCGAGGGAGTCGTGGAGTTTTTAAACAAACGAAGGCATGCTCTAAACATGTGCAAACGATAGGTAGAACTAAATCTCAACTAAAGACAGAAGAGCCTTATATATCAGAGATATAGAAATATATATATGTGTAATATATATATAGTGAAAAAGTGCGTCATATATATATATTTTTGTGTGTGAGATAACATTCGCTAGAGTTTTTATATATATACGTAAGCGCTTCACTCGCAAGCTGTCCCTTGTTTTGCCATTATTTTCGTCCGATTGTGTCGCACATGTAACAAGTTGTCAGATAAATTTTTAGCTCGTTAGTATTTGTGTATTTTGACTTATTTCATGTGGCCTACATAACTGGTACACAAAACGGAAATAATGACACACGGGGCAGCTAGCCTGACTTCTATCTTCATAACACGTGGCAAGAGTGAGTTAATGAACTAAAGGAGAGAAACGAAACATCTTTACTGACGTAACCACGGTAACCACCAGAAAGAACACTGAGTGTAATGAGTACATATTATTAGATAATTGATATATTACGATAGTGTGAATAGATCTTAAAAACTAGCTGTTCAAAACCTGGATCATCCTCCTGCAAATGCTTTAAGGAAAGACAAAAACACGTGAATGAGTATAATTAGGTATTAATTAGCGTGTCAAAATAGATATCCAAGTTTTAAAAGTAGGGCTGGGGGGATGAAAAAAACCAACGGCAACGAACAAAGAGAGAGAGTTGCGATTAGGCCCTGTAAAAAACGGTAAGAAAATTCGTTTCTTTTTCTTTCATCTTTAATAGCTGAGCTCAAAAATTGGTTATCAGCTTCTGAAAAATCCGTGGCTGCGTACACCTGGAAAAAATGGTCGTGGACACACTAAAAGAAGGGGTGGTTGGAGTTGTTGGAAGGTTTCGGGAAAGCTAGAATAAGAGTCGTTGGAGATTTTATTGTCGTAAAAAATCCAAAAATATAAAATCTCGCCAGCCAAAAAAGTAGGGCCATCATCGTTTCGTGTTCCGCGTCGCGTAAACGTTTCATAAAAATCGGGGGAGGAAGTGAAGGAGGTTACGAAAAGAACGATAGGAAAACGTGATCGGAGTAGCGTGATTGGAGAGGCGCGAAAAATCCAAAAAATCGTGCGCGTTCAAAACTTTTGTTCGCGCAAAAAAAAAGAAGGTAACCCGACCGGAAAAAAGGGCCATGTCCGTCCTCTTTTCCTCTCTCGTCACGATGGGTGATTCGATAGTTCGTTTCTCGAAACTATAACTGTAACACAAGAATGGCGTGAGAGAAGAGGAAAGCTCATATATGTATAATATAATACAGTATAATGTAATTTGATATATATAGAATATAACGTAAGTACAATGAAACATAACGTAAGTGTAGAGTCACTGGAGAGAAAAGATAGACGACAGAGAAGAACAGAAAATAGAAAGTCGTGATAAAAGGGAGAGAGTATCTGGTCGTTTGAGAGATCGGGAAGAGAGACAGGTTGACGAAGTGACGTTAGCGGAATCTGAAATCGAAAGTATGCATATAGTAATGTATATTTTATATATCGTAATGCATTCACCAGATCAGGAATAACAACACGGCGTGTTTGTCGCAACCCGCATTGGAACCGCACGAAAGTATAACCGCGGACTGACTTTTGGCGGGCTTTTATATTTTTGGCTCTCGGATGAGGCGCGTTATTACTTCATCCCAATAGTATTCCTTCCCCGCGAAGTTTAGCGTGTGAAATTCGTAGCGACCGCGGCGTTGGGGTTGCTGTCGCGATTACGATCGAATTTCCGTTCGACATCGCAGACATCTACGATGACATCTTCCTTTCGTAAACATGATATCGCGTTAGCGCTTTTGGAGAACACATCGCCGCGAGACATCGAGACACAGTGTTAGCTCCCTCGCGCCTGTGCGTCACCACGGATTTTACACGTTACTCCTCGCGTGCCTGAGACGTAAACAGAGAGACTTTTCAGTTAGTGTCTGTGATACATACCGTCCTCATGAGTTCTGACCATGATAGGATAACTCGGGGGCCCGTCACCTACTCTGGTTCCGGCCAATACCCAGATCCGATATTCAGTCCACTTTTTGAGCTCGTCCAACACGAAACGCGTGTCATTCAGTTTGATAATCGTCGCCTCGGAGTCGGAGCGACCGCTCTCGACGACTTGCAGCCTGTAGTAGGCGATCCTTCCGTTGGAGCGTTCAGCAGCCGGTGGTTCCCACGTTACCAATATTGAAGTCGGGCTGATCGCTTTGCCGGTTACATTGCGAGGCGGAGCCCCGGGGACTGTATAACACTCAATTATAGGAGGGAGGAAAACAAAATCGGGGGAGGTATAAATCGACAGTTACCAGCCGATTGTATCGAATTCCAGAGCGTGAGGCTTACAAAGTCGAGAATACGAAAAGTCGCCGTATAGAATACTGTCAAATGAATATGTCGAAACTTGATTATTTTTATTTTATTGTTGGATAATTATTGGATGAAAGCTAAAGTGTAATATAAATTTCGTGTTTAATGCCTTGTCGAAGAATGTCACTTTGATTTTTTATCAGTTGTCTTAAAATAATACAGGTATTTAATTTTGCAATTGTGATAAAATCATCTTTGTATGCTTTATGAATGATAAATCAGTATTAGCATGCAATGTGAGCGAGCGAGTTCTCGTATTCCTCGTTTTGGCGTCCTCAACGCCGAGACGAGCGCACAATCGACGGTGACTGTCGAGGGATACCAACAAAACGGTACGTGACGATTGATCAAGGTTCAGAGAGGTATAAAATATTCAAGGTAAAAAGTCATGAATCGATCCTTGAACAGTCGAAAAAAGATGTGATTAGAAACAGTTTGTACGGAGCGGCCGAGTGTTAACTCGGACGTATAATGCGCAGAGTTAACGAATTAACACGTTCATATAATTGCAAGGGAACGAGACAACGAAAAACTGAAGAACGGACGATAAAATTAATATGTTATCGAGAATGAAAAGAGGTGCCCAAAATGCACACATATATCAATGCAGTGCTTAGTGCAATTTATATGTATATGATATGTATATACGTATATATATATATATAGATATATATAAAGTGGCATCCAAAAACGGCTTTCTTATTTGCAACGCATGCAATCATTCTCACTCTCCCACACTTCACTTGTTTCAACGTTACTCTCTATCTTTCGTCTTTCCCTTTCATATTACGCTCTTTTTTTCCTTTTTCTTTCTCTAGAAAACGCGTCTTCAAATACGAAAAAGTGATTTCTTTTTTTTTTTTTT